GTTGTAGTCTGGGGGGGGGGTCTGATGAGTCCTTCATGGACTGTTGTAGTCTGGGGGGGGGGGGTCTGATGAGTCCTTCATGGACTGTTGTAGTCTGGGGGGGGGGGGTCTGATGAGTCCCTCATGGACTGTTGTAGTCTGGGGGGGGGGGTCTGATGAGTCCCTCATGGACTGTTGTAGTCTGGGGGGGGGTCTGATGAGTCCCTCATGGACTGCTGTAGTCGAGGGGGGGTATCTGAGTCCTTCATGGACTGCTGTAGTCTGGGGGAGGGGGTGGCTGTGGAGTTCTGTGGGCTGGTTTAATCTAAGGGGGTGGGTGCTGTTGTGGGCTCTGTGGACTAGTCTAGGGGGAGCTGTTGAGTCCTGACTAGTCGGTGGGGGGAGCTGTTTTGTTCTGTGGACTGGTCTGGGGGGGGGGGGGGGGGGGCTGTTAGCTCCATGAACTTGTCTGGTCTTCTGTACAGATTTCTTTTTAAAGGACCATGAATGCTGAGTGTTGATCATAGAACTTCCTGTGGGGGGGTTCTCATTACTCTTCTATTGGGGTGCAGCTGTGATGGATTCACTACAGTCCCCTTTGAATTTGAAGGTACACAATATCCCCATGAATGGGTTTAACTCCTCATATGTGAGGTTGTATGACTGCCCCATGTAGGGATGAATCCCTCATACCGGACGCATGTGTATGATCCCCCCATGGCGGGAGAATACATGCGTGTGATCATTATTGTCTTTTCCTAATATATTGTGCCTCATATGTACACAAATATGCACAGAACCAATTCCTGAGATTACATCCAAAAAAAGCAGATGCCTAAACATTGTGTGTGTGTGTTGTAAGTTGCTGTGAGCAGTGCTTTGGCCTGCACAAGATTGTGATGAGGGTTTGGCTGTCTGGTGTTGGGAGGGGCCCTTTGGCTGGGTGTGTGGGGCCCCCTCCCGTCAGTGTGTGCTGTCTCTAATTCCTGGAAGTGAGCGCCTCTCTGGGTATGGTGGGGATGACTCCTCTACTTCGCTTCTAGTTCTGGCTTTGTACATGTAACAGCCTTTCTGGTGTTACAGAAGGGGGGGGGGGGTTCAGGAGCAGACTACAAACTCATGGGGGCTCCTGGGCAATAGGGGATCATGGGGCCAGTGTCCTTGTCCAAACTAAAAAAAAAGACTATGAAAAAGGTTCAGGAGCAGACTACAAACTCATGGGGGCTCCTGGGCAATAGGGGATCATGGGGCCAGTGTCCTTGTCCAAACTAAAAAAAAAGACTATGAAAAAGGTACCGGGGCATCTATTGGGGGCCCCCTACTGACCCCCGGGCTCTCGGGCAGTGCCGGAGTTTCCGAATGGTCAGTCTGCCCCTGGGGGGGTCATGCATCTCTACTCCATAGTGGTGGTGGGCTCTCTGTACAGATAATGCCTTTTAAAGTGCTAGGATTGCTCAGTTCCTGATCATAAAACATCCTGTGGGGGTTCATTGCTGTTATATTGGGGTGCAGCTGTGATGGATTCACTAAATTCACCTTTGAATTTGAAGGTACACAGTATCCCCATGAATGGGTGTAATTCCTCATATCTGAGGTTCTATGACTGCACCGTGTAGGGATGGAACCCCTCAAATCGAAGTTGTATGACTGCACCGTGTAGGGATGGAACCCCTCAAATCGAAGTTGTTTGACTGCCCCATGTAGGGGGAGAATCCATCTTGTCTGACCCACCATGTGGGGGAGAACCTATCATATCAGGAGTAGTCGTATGACTACACCATGTAGGGATCAAACCATTCATTTCTGAGGAAGTTTTATCACCTCCACCCCATGTAGGGAGAGAACTCGCTGTATCTGTGGTAGTTGTATGACCCCCCCATGTAGAGGGAGAACTTGCTGTATCTGGCTACTTGTACCTCCACTCCATGTAGGGGGAGAACTTGTTGTCTCTGGGCTAGTTGTATGACCGCCCCGTGTAGGGGGAGAATTTATTGTGTCTGGGCTAGTTGTACCACCGCCCCGTGTAGGGGGAGAACTCGCTGTATCTGGGCAAGTTGTATGACCGCCCCGTGTAGGGGGAGAACTCGCTGTATGACCGCCCCCGTGTAGGGGGAGAACTCGCTGTGACCGCCCCGTGTAGGGGGAGAACTCGCTGTATGACCGCCCCGTGTAGGGGGAGAACTCGCTGTATGACCGCCCCGTGTAGGGGGAGAACTCGCTGTATGACCGCCCCGTGTAGGGGGAGAACTCGCTGTATGACCGCCCCGTGTAGGGGGGAGAACTCGCTGTATGACCGCCCCGTGTAGGGGGGAGAACTCGCTGTATGACCGCCCCGTGTAGGGGGAGAACTCGCTGTATGACCGCCCCGTGTAGGGGGAGAACTCGCTGTATGACCGCCCCGTGTAGGGGGAGAACTCGCTGTATGACCGCCCCGTGTAGGGGGAGAACTCGCTGTATGACCGCCCCGTGTAGGGGGAGAACTCGCTGTATGACCGCCCCGTGTAGTAGGGGGAGAACTCGCTGTATGACCGCCCCGTGTAGGGGGAGGGGGAAACTCGCTGTATGACCGCCCCGTGTAGGGGGAGAACTCGCTGTATGACCGCCCCGTGTAGGGGGAGAACTCGCTGTATGACCGCCCCGTGTAGGGGGAGAACTCGCTGTATGACCGCCCCGTGTAGGGGGAGAACTCGCTGTATGGGCTAGTTGTACCCGCCCCGTGTAGGGGGAGAACTCGCTGTATGACCGCCCCGTGTAGGGGGAGAACTCGCTGTATGACCGCCCCGTGTAGGGGGAGAACTCGCTGTATGACCGCCCCGTGTAGGGGGAGAACTCGCTGTATGACCGCCCCGTGTAGGGGGAGAACTCGCTGTATCTGGGCTAGTTGTACCACCGCCCCGTGTAGGGGGAGAACTCTCTGTATCTGGGCTAGTTGTACGACCGCCCCGTGTAGGGGGAGAACTCTCTGTATCTGGGCTAGTTGTACGACCGCCCCGTGTAGGGGGAGAACTCGCTGTATCTGGGCTAGTTGTACGACCGCCCCGTGTAGGGGGAGAACTCTCTGTATCTGGGCTAGTTGTACGACCGCCCCGTGTAGGGGGAGAACTCTCTGTATCTGGGCTAGTTGTACGACCGCCCCGTGTAGGGGGAGAACTCGCTGTATCTGGGCTAGTTGTACGACCGCCCCGTGTAGGGGGAGAAACTCTCTGTATCTGGGCTAGTTGTACGACCGCCCCGTGTAGGGGGAGGACTCGCTGTATCTGGGCTAGTTGTACGACCGCCCCGTGTAGGGGGAGAACTCGCTGTATCTGGGCTAGTTGTACGACCGCCCCGTGTAGGGGGAGAACTCGCTGTATCTGGGCTAGTTGTACGACCGTCCCGTGTAGGGGGAGAACTCGCTGTCTCTGGGCTAGTTGTACGACCGCCCCGTGTAGGGGGAGAACTCGCTGTATCTGGGCTAGTTGTACGACCGCCCCGTGTAGGGGGAGAACTCGCTGTATCTGGGCTAGTTGTACGACCGCCCCGTGTAGGGGGAGAACTCTCTGTATCTGGGCTAGTTGTACGACCGCCCCGTGTAGGGGGAGAACTCGCTGTATCTGGGCTAGTTGTACGACCGCCCCGTGTAGGGGGAGAACTCGGCGTATCTGATGAATTGATCTCCTCCCCATGTAGGGGGAGAACCTATCATCATATCTGGAGTAGATGTACAACCTCACCATACAGGGGAGAGCCCCTCCACGAGGGAGTTGTTACCCCAGAAGAGGAGCCTCCCTTGTCTGAGATGTAGTTTGGCTTTGCAGCTCTTTGAAGGAAAGGACTCCTCCAATATTAACATGCAAAGGGCCGGTTTAAATGGACATCTGAGTGGTCTGCCGTGCCGTCATGTTAGTTGCTGCTTTAGTTTTCTACCACTTTAAGGTTGGTCGTTATGAATGTTGAAGTAATCAAACACTGATGATGGGCAGGACGTTTATATCAAGGGGCCCTTCTGGACTCCTCTGTCTCCCCTGCCTGACAGTGGGTACCGTGATTTGAGACGCACATGCGTAGCTCAGATCACGTTTGCAACCCGCTCTGTGTCATGACAATGTGACTCACATGTGTGGAAGTTACATCACCTGGCCATTCAATGGGCTGTAGGTACCAAACTGGAAGAAAGCACTGGAAATGTAGTGTCGGAGTTGTGACCGTGTGTAACCCCCATCCCTTCCCAGCCTGAGTCCAGGGGTTTCTTCACACCTCAGTGGCTTGGCCAGTAAGCTTTTCCTTTGGGATGCCTACTTGCTTCTGTAGATGCAGTTCCAGGGCTGTCTTCCTAACCCTGGAGTATGAACATTGTACATGTCAGCTGCTGGGACACATGACCTGCTTGGACAGCAATTTGGGTAAAATTGTAGTCCTGGAACTTCAACATTCCATAAGTTGTCAGTCGGGTTTAATATTTTATCTGCTTTATGAATATTATGGTAATTATGGCAACCTGCTTGCAAGGTTATTAGTTTTTATTTCCATGTGATCTGGAAATCTTTAAAGCAGAACTCTGGGCAGAATTGTTCTCTATGTAGTGGGGCTGTAACTGCATTGTACATGTAACTGCTTGTTCTAGGGGAGAGGACAGCAGAGGTGTACCTACCTGCTGATCCTCCCCGCACAAGACTGGTCCTTTGGTTCCTCCCCCTTTTACCATCCCAGGTCTTTGAAATTGACACTTCCTGATGCTCCATTTCAAAGAACAGTCCACTACTGGAATGCAGGGGAGCATGGTTTTTCCAGATCTGAGGATCAGGTGAGTGAACTTTGTGCTCACCCCTAGAACAAACAGTTGACATGTGCAGTGAGGGCACAGCCCCATTATATGGTGAAGAGATTCATTTGCCTGGAGTTGGGCTTTAATGCCTTCTGCACTTAGATTGGGTTCTGTTGGTAAGGAAGGGTTAATGGCAATGCCAGTCACTCAGATTAACTGGCTCCATATTTTAACAGGTGCTGTCTTGTCTGCTCACTCGAAACTTCATACTGTGAACATGGCCAACAATGAGAATGCCCGCCTCAACCTCTTCAAGAACAAGGGCAGGGACACCTCGGTGAGTTTTGTGCCATGGAGTGTAAGTCTGGCATTGGGTTGAGGACTTTGTACAGGCTGATACCCCTTCTATCATTGCAGGAGATGAGACGCAGGAGGATGGAGGTCAATGTGGAGCTCCGCAAGGCCAAGAAGGATGATCAGATGTTGAAGAGAAGAAATGTCAGTTCTTTCCCAGATGAGCCCGTGTCTCCTCTGCAGGAGAAGAACCCGAATGGACAGGTGAGGCTCCTATACCAGCCTAGAGGCTGATGTGTACCCCGTCCAGCTGAGACTATCCTCTGTAGGTACATCGGGGTTCCCTTATGGTCTTAGCTGTATTACTCCCTTCAAATCCCTACGTTGGGCAAGTTTGGGATCACTGCCTTCAAGTGTTGCGTAACCCTGGACCCCGCATTCACTATATCTGTTCTCACAGTACATGACTTGGAAATGCAATCATTTTAGTAAATATTAACTGCTAAATACCTTTTCTCATCAGCAGTCTTGTGGCTCAGTATCTGAGCACTGGTTAATCTTGTAGGATCAGTTTTCTTTCTCCTTTGACCATCCTATGAGGCTTCATGACCCCTGACTGACTGGACATTGCTGATTGGCCTTATGCTGATCACATGCACCTTCCCTAAACTCTAGCATTGCATATTAAACTGAGCATGTGCAGAGTGCTTTCTAGGGATCTGTACTATCAGCAGATGGTTTGGGGACTGTACAAGGGGAGTATTAGAGGACAGGATCAAGATTACTTAACAAAATGTGGTGATTAACCTTTTAGGTTCCAGTGAGTAGAACAAGCTTGCTTTACTGCATATACAGACTGATTTTACTGTTGAGGGTCAGAACCAGCTAGATCTGTCTTCTGTGCTTTAGGGTTAGTCCAGGTTCAATTGACTAGCTGATACTCAGATTGCATATGAATGTACTCCTTGAGTGCCTGAGAATTTATAATCAGCCACACCAACCTAATGAGTAGGTCCTTTTCCCTGACCATCAAGGCATGGCCTCCACTGGCTTGTCTTAACACCATAACATGACCACCCACCTAATGGAGTACCACTAAAACACCCTGTCCCATGGAGGCATGGCCTCCACTAAACCATAACATGCCCTAATGGAGTCCACATGGAGGCATGGCCTCCACTGGCTTAACACCATAACATGACCACCCACCTAATGGAGTACCACTAAAACAACATGACCCATGGAGGCACGGACTCACTACACCTCTGAAGGTATGCTGTGATGTCTGGCAACAAGCTGTCAGTAGCAGATCCTTTAAGTCCTGTAACTTGTGAGTTGGGGCTTCATAGTTCAGACTTTATTTTCTGCACGTTCTACAGATGCTCAATTGGTTTGAGATCTGGAGAATATGGAAGTCAACATCTCGGTCATTATTTTTCTCAAACCACTCATGAGCCATTTATACAGTGTGGCAGGGAGCATTATACTATTCCTTCCACTGATTAGTCCACCTTCTTACATTGCTGTGGTCCAGTTCTGACGCTCATGTGCCCTTTGTAAGCACTTTTGACACAGGTCAGCATGGGTGCCCTGACCGGTCTGGCCCATAACAGTCCCATACACAAGCTGCGATACTGTATTCTGACTCCTTTCTATTAGAACCCCAGCATTCACTTTCTCAGCAATTTGAGCTCCAAAAGCTCTATTTGACTAGACCACACTGGCCAGTGCAATCAATGTGCCTTTCTTCTACCCCCCCATCCCACTTCCTCATCACCATCAATGACCCTTGGCCACCACTGACCCTCTCCCAGGTTGGCGGTTTTCCACTTTTGGTTGGTCCTTTCCTTTGCAGTCAGGGAACATCCCACAAGAGCTGTAGTTTTTGGAGTTGCTCTGATAGTTGTCTAGACATTACAATTTGGTCCTTGTCAAAGTCCCTCCAATCCTTATCTTTTTGTCAACTTTTCTTGTGCTTTCAACATAATTTCAGGGACAACATATTCACTTGTTGCCTTAATATATCCCACCCACCTTCAGATGTCATTGTGACCAGATAATGTTCCTATTACCTGTCAGTGGTCAGAATGTTGACTGTTCAGTGTATATGCCCTGTGATGGCAGAGAATGTTACTTGTTGGGGAGAAATCCTGAGCACTCAGCTCCTTGGTGTGCTGGTTTCTGTTGTCGGATCCCTGAGTGGGGTTAGTCAGAATAGTCTTTGTGCAGCAGCCCCCCCATTGCATATCTGAGCACCATTGCTGCCTTGGCTCTCCAGGGACTCTCCCTAATTGGCTAAGACAGCAGCAAGCGCCATTGGCTTCTACTGCTGTCAATCAGCCAATGAGGGGGCAGGGCTGAGCCACAGCTCTGCATGAATGGACAGGCAAAACAGTGGCTCAGGAGCAAGCCTGCTTGTTCTGGTAGCACTTGGCAGGAGGGAGAGGCCAGGAGGGCAAGTTGACCTATGGAGGACGATTGGGGCTGCTCTGTGCCAAACAATTAAAGAGCAGTTCAGTAGGACACGTGTGTGTATATATATTTTTTATTTGACTTCTTTCTTTAAGACAAATGGGGTTACATTACTATAACTTTTTTGCTTGTTTCAGACTTCTACTCAGTGGACTGTGGAGGAGATTGTCCGTGGGGTGAGCAATGCAAGCATGGATGTTCAGCTACAGGCCACACAAGCTGCCCGGTGAGTATACTGTGGTGAATGGGAGTAGGTGGTGCTTAGGGGGCTTTCATGGTTCAACAGTGATTGAGGGTCTCAGTCAGGGTGGGATATAATGCCTCTTATGAGCCGTTGGCTTGTGCTCTGTGATCCTCTGGAGGTCATGAGTGGAGATTTCGGTCTGATGTCTCAACTGCAGCAAAACAAATACCTGATTTCTCAGTTTGTTCAATGCAGCAAATAAAACTGACAAAGCTGTTCCTTCTATGCAGTCATAGCTGCTATGCTGCTCTCTAGTATGAGCATCTGATGCAAAGTGCTAGTCTTGCTGTGTGCATTTTAGGGTTCTTGAGTTTAATGCAACATCACAATAATCCCTACATTTCTCTTCACAGGAAGCTTCTTTCTCGGGAACGTGAGCCTCCCATAGACAAGATCATCCAAGCTGGCCTCATCCCTAAACTTGTTTCCTTCTTGTGTCGTGAGGACTGCAGTCCAATGCAGTTTGAGGCTTCATGGGCCCTCACTAACATTGCTTCTGGGAGCTCTGACCAGACCCGGGCTGTGGTAGATGGTGGAGCCATTCCTGCCTTCATTTCTCTGCTGGCTTCTCCTCACTCTCACATCTGTGAGCAGGCTGTGTGGGCCCTGGGCAACATTGCAGGTAAGGGTACCTTCCCTGAAAAATGCTCTTAATGACTTTTCATGGTTTATGTAGGTATTCAAGGTGCACCTTTAGTCATGTTCTATGGGTCACTGGCCTACAGTGTTAAGGTCCCCGGGTTTAGTTCTCCCATGCTTTAGCTACAGGTGTTTTTTTTTTTTTTTTTTTTTTTGAATGTTTTATCTGCTCTGTAATGGTTTTGCACAGAGCAGCCTTGGGGTGCCCACATGGCAAGCATCTTGCTATGAGAGCACCTGAGCAGGTTGACTCAAATGCTGCTGTCCTCACACTGGGACCTTGGACCCCACCAATGAGGGTGATCCAAGGCTCTTGTGCACATCACTTCTTCAAGATGGGGCTCAAACTTTTAGGGGAGCTTGGGGGTACTGCTGCACAATGGGGTTTACATTCCTTCAAACCCTGAGCCTTTGCCACCACTTTATGCTTCTCTGGCTTTTGCTTGACACAGCTGGGCTGAGGATGAAGGTTTAAGCTTGCACTGGTCTTCAAGACTCTCCACATTTTGAAACAGCTTCGAGTTTGAATCGCTATTGCTAAATGCTAACTATCGCATGGGCAGAAAGGTACATAGTTATGTTTGCTACTTGGGCAAACATGGTACCAAGGGAGAAAAGACGCGTTGAAAGTATAGGTGTCTACACTCAAAGGGCAGAACCAATGAGTACACCAGGGGTTCTTCTTGAACAATTTGGCTCTATATGCTTGGTATTGCCATATTGGCTAGAAGCAATCTTTGTTCATCTAAATCCAACTTTCTGAGTAGTGCTCTACAATTCCCTTGCCAAGTGAGTCACAAGAGGCCACAAATTGGTGGCAGTTGACTTCATCCAGACACAAACCTTTGAGACTAGTTAAGAGACTAGCCAACATTTTTTTTTTTTTTAACCAGATAATGTGTTTGTGGTTTTTGATTTCTTGACTTGCTTTTTTTAGGTGATGGATCCGCTTACAGAGACTTGGTCATTAAACATGGGGCTGTTGCTCCACTGTTGGCATTACTGGCTGTCCCTGACATCTCATCTCTTCCTGTGAGTAGATGTAGAATATGCATAACCTTTCCTATATCTTGGCCTGTTGCATTGGCTATCCTTGTATAAATCAGTTGCATTAAGTGTAGAGCTGTATTATATTGGGAATCTAAATAATTATCTATTTCCAAGCATTTAGTTAATGGCTGAATGAAGACTCTTTGGACAGTTGACTTTTGTCTAAATATAAGCTTTGCATATAGCAAATTAAGTTTGACTTGAGTAACACAACACCCTGTCCTCATGGCAATTTGCTGGTGGGGTTATCCGTGGTATTTGTCTGTAAAAGGACATTTAAGGCTTCCTTGCTGGATTTAAGTTGGTTTCTGCTCTCTGCTGGTATTGGCCTGTTGATTACATAAGCACAAGATGTTAGAATTTAACTGTCTTTCTGGTTTTCCCTTTTTGCAGACTGGCTACCTCCGAAACCTGACATGGACCTTGTCCAACTTGTGCCGCAACAAGAACCCAGCTCCCCCTATTGAGGCGATCAAGGAGATCCTGCCGACCTTGGTTCGTCTTCTGCACAGTGATGACCGGGAAGTTCTGGCAGACACATGCTGGGCTGTCTCTTACTTGACTGATGGCTCCAATGACCGCATTGATGTGGTGGTGCATACAGGACTGGTCCCTAGAATTGTGCAGCTGCTGGGGTGCAAGGAGGAGCTGACCATTGTGGTAAGTGAATGTCAGACACTAAATGGTACACAATGGGATGTTCCTCAAAAGGGAACTTTGCTCCTAGTCCAAGTACTCCCCTAGCTTTCTTCTGTGCCATCTATGAACACTAAGGCACAGTGAACAAAACACAAATTCTAACGAATACCAGAGAAGCCTTAAGTGTGTGAATTAACATGGCTTTTCTCCTGACAGACCCCTTGCCTGAGGACAGTAGGAAACATTGTGACGGGAACAGATGAGCAGACCCAGGTGGTCCTGGAATCTGGTGCTCTGGCTGTATTCCCTGAGCTCCTCAACCATCCCAAGAACAACGTCCAAAAGGAGGCTGCCTGGACTCTGTCTAACATCACAGCTGGGCGTCAGGACCAGATCCAGGAGGTGGTGAACCAGGGCTTAGTGCCCTACCTGGTTGATATCCTGAGGAAGGTAGGTATTAAGGGTAGTGGGTCCTCTGAATGGCTCTGTACAAGTGTTTGCAGTGTCTCTCCGGCTTTATTTTCTAATGTCTCACTGATGGCTAAAGAGAAACTCTTGACCACAAACTGGTTTAAGGGTTTTAAGTGGCTAACCATGCGGAAATAAGACCAGGGGTTGTGCATGATGGACCTGTACTTTGCTGATCCTCTGGAGTTTTACTGGCCTTTACGTAGCATATAGAAATGGCTGGGCTTGAAAGGTTTAGGCCAGTGGTCCCCAACCTCTGAGACTGGTTTTCATGGAGGAAATTAAAGACGTGGGGGTGATTGGGGAAAGTGCTTTGATCATTCTGACACCATGGTTGTATGGTGTCAGGATGATAGTGTTGTACTACCTTCTGTTGTGTTGTAATGGTTCTACTTGCAGTTTAGACTCCTGAGCGTGTCACTCTAATTGATTTCCCACTGTAGCCTGCCACCAGCAGATGGAACTTGCCACTTGAAGAATTTAAAGTGGTTGTAAAGGCTTAAATTTCTTTTATGCATTCTATGCATGAAGGTAAACCTGTGCAGCAGTGCCCTTACCTGAGCCCAATCGAGATCAGTCGATGTGCACAACAGCCTCGGCTGTCCTGGGTCTCTGCCTCCATTGGTTGAGACAGCAAGCCAATGATTGGAGGACAGCCAAGCTGCAGCTCCACGTGGACACAGCAGTGGCTTAAACAGCCTGCTATGGGGGCGTCCAATAGAAAGGGAGCCGGGAGCGCCAGCAGGTTACTTGAGGATCCAGGCTGCACGGTGTAAAACCACTGCACACAGCAAGCAAGTAAAACATGTTTGGTTGTTTACACATAAAATAGGCCTTTAGAATCTTAAGGCCAATTTGGGTTTTCTGACATGACTGAGAATTGCATGAGGAGTCTGGCATTCTTGGGGAAACTAGTGAGTGCTCAGCTGATCTCAATCAGGGTTCTGGCCTATAAGATGTAATAAGGCAGACCTAGCAGTGGTGAGTGGGATGGGTGGTGAGACTATGATGCCATCTCTGCTCAGCCTAGCTGTAAACGGGGCATGGGCCAGTGCCTGTCTACTGCCTTGGGGTTGGGGGTCCCCTGGCTTTGGCCATGCTAACACGCAGGGAACTACATCAGTCACACACAAAATAAAGGTAATGGGGAATCTAGCAATATCTACTTTGACTTGACTTGGGGTCCTATGACTACACATTGGAGTAGCATGACCTATGGGACAGCAAATGATGTCAAATACATTCCATTGCCTGTGCTTTGAAGACATGGTGGCTCCCCATGGTTGACAGTCTTCTCTCTTACAGGGTGACTACAAGACACAGAAGGAAGCCGTGTGGGCCGTCACCAACTACACCAGTGGTGGTACTATTAACCAGATCATCTACCTGGTACAAGCTGGTGTCGTTGAGCCTTTGTCCGGTCTTCTCTCTGCTAAGGACAGCAAGACTGTGCTGGTCATCCTTGACGCCTTCACAAACATCTTTGCTGTAAGTCTTGATGTTTGCCTGCTTGGACGTTTGGGTTGATGTGCTAAATCTGGTGCAGCTGTGCATGGGAGCCAATCGGCTTCTATAGTCAGCTTGTTCAATGAAGCTTTGGCAATAAGACCTGGAAGCTGATTGGCTTCTAGGCAGAGCTGCACCATATTTTGCACTTTAAGGATTTCAACCCCATTGTGTACTCAATTCTTCTAACCTGTGAATCTCTATACCAGGCTGCTGATAAGCTCGGTGAGACGGAGAAGCTATGCATGATGGTGGAGGAATGTGGTGGTCTGGACCGTATTGAAGCTTTGCAGTCTCATGAGAATGAGCAAGTCTACAAGGCCTCAGCTACTCTTATTGAGAAATACTTTGCGTCAGAGGTTAGTGTTCGGTTTTTATGTTAATGGTGTGGTGAGTTTTATGGCTTCGGTTATATCCATTAGTTGAAATATTCCATGCTGACCATTGATCTGTCCTTACAGGAGGATGAGGAGGAAAGTCTGGCTCCAGAGGCCTCAGCTGATGGCTATACGTTCCAGGTCCCCGGCGGCACGCACACCACCTTCGACTTCTAAGCACTTTATCTCAGTGGTTGTCTCTCCTAGTCCTTTTCTATGTGATTCGGCACTTTCCTGTCCTGTACATACTGTGAATCTCTTATGTGAACATGTAAATAGTTTTACTTTTTCTGGTTTTCCATTACTATAAACTTTTTCTTCTCTTTATACACTAAGACCTCTGTGGGGGGTTAAACCCCCCTGCTCTCTCCTGGTCTCTGCTGGATCAGCTGATTGTTCAGGGCGTACCTGCCCGTCTCTAGCCTCGCCCGCCTTACAGGGCAAATGGTTTCTGTTGTGGATAAGACCTGCCTTGCCCTTCACCTCCTAGCAGGGGCATGGTGAAGGTACTTCTCTTCATATGAATGGTCCTCCTCGATGGTAGGTGTGCAGGTCCCTGCAACATCTGAGGAGGTCTGCAAGTTTACAATGTGACTTGTGTAGCCTGCAATTTATGAAAAGTGTCTAATAAAACATTTTGTAAGTAAACTGTCTCGCTTATTGTCCAAGGCTGAGAAATGTGTGGGAGACCCCCAGAGAAGATAAAAGTTGGGTTTTGGTGATCAGTGGTGGCTTTTCTGGATCAATGGATTGCTGTTAGTGCAGCTTCTGCTGGTCTTGGGGTGTATGATCCTGCTGCAATATAAAGGCTACACCGTGTATTTGGGCCAACTATTTTTGAGTTGGATAGGGGGAGATCGGGGGTTTTTCAAGCTCAGGCAGTTTGGGAGGTGGGGGTGGTGTAGGAGGACAGCAGACCTGACAAAGGTGAACAATATGATTGAATGATCCCTAGAATCGGCATTCTGAAGGGCTATTTCTTCTTTCAGTGATGGGTTAAGGTTCACATGCATGAAAAGGGGGGGGGGGGGGGTGGCGGGTGGCGGCTTTTTCATTTCCCACTAAGTCTCCTGAGTTGTTGCTGAGCTCCAGGTATGTAGATGCCCCCTGTGCCTGCTGGAACCAAGGAAGTCCAATCTTGTGTACTGCCAATTCCAGCACATGAACACGGAGCAGGAATGGCAGAGACAAAGCTCACGTGGCTTTAGCTCGGATCAGAACCGTTCAGGATGGGAACACATGCACCATGTAGTGTGCCCATGTAGTGTGGTGCTGCTGTCAAGCAGAGAGCAGGGGACACTCGCTTGCCTGTAGTTGGGCTGGGGGTCAGTATGATGAGCTTAGACAATTGGCAGGGTGCCCAAGTCTAAATATTTGAACCCTATAAAACATATTTTGCTGCTTTTACCAATCCTGAATTTGTATATTTTTTTTTCCCCCCTTCAATCTGGCCAGTAACTCTCCTCCTTTTCCAGAGTGCCCCTCTTCTGGATGAAGCTGTACAGGGGCCATCTAAGAAGTGTTAAATGAACTAGCAGATGTAAATACACTAACAAATTGAAGGCTGAGCTCCTGCTGCTTCCACTCCCGATACGTTGAAGCGAATACCTAGAATCAGTTATTTTGTTTTTGTAAGCACCCTTTAGTGCTAAATGGTTTCCATACCCTCTCACTGCTACTTCTGCAGGGCAGCTGGCTCTGTTAAACAGACTTGCTGACTAACCAGGTTAGAGTCTGAAATAAAATTAATGGAAATGCTAATTAATTTTGGGTTTGCTGCAACAATTCCAGGAACATAGGTGAAATTCTTAGATGCTGAACAAGTGTCTCTTACCGGTCAGAGGACATACCTACCTCACCCCAATATCCCTTCCAGTCATTATCCCTCCCTGAACTGAGAAGTAGCGGCTATCATTGTCACTCTGCTCTCTCCTCCTATCAGTGTTACTACCTTTACAATACAGCTCTCATGTTTCTCTTCCGTAATTTTACTAGTACTGCAGGCATCTGGCTGAAAGTTGCTACTGCACAGGTTTGTGTTCACTCCAGCAGGGTATAATTTGTTTCATTCCTGTCTGTAGTGTTGGCTGTGTGTGTCCCCTGCTGTGTGTAAAGGCTTCTGCCCAAGCTGGCTGCAATTCAGCTGTAAACCTCAGCTATGAAATGTGAACAAAACCATATCCCTCTTTGAGATGTTTGAGTCCAGAGCGGGGGTGGACTGACTGTTTGGATACTCGGGCACTGACCAAGGTCTTGGGGTCAGTAAGGGGCTCCATGAGATGCCCCTGGTACCTTTTTTTTTTTTTCATAGGCTTTTTTGAGTTTGGGCAAGGACACAGGGGCCCCATGATCCCCTATTGCCTGGGGCCCCCATGTGTTGTCAGTCCTCCCCTGGTCTGGAGCATTAAGGGGAGATTAACTAAAGTTGGTTCAATCTGGTGCTGCTGGGTGGCAGCCAATTGGCTTTCAGCATGTTCCTTTTATACTTTAGCAATAAATCCTGGAAGCTGATTGGTTTCTGCAGAGTTACACCAGCTTTTTGCTTTCTCCAGTTTTAGCGAATCAATGCCTCAGTGACCGTCTGTGGATTGCAGAAGTTTGTTCTTGAATAAAGAGGTTATTAATCTCAGACATAAAATAGGAAAAGTACATCCTTCTATAGTGTGTACTTATCTCAGTCCAGCTCACAAAGTGCATTTTCTCTCAGTCTCTTTATCAGCAGGCGTTACTTCTGAGAAGTTTTCCCCAACACCAACAGATGGTGGAGGAAGGTTCAGCGCACAGCCTGTGATTGACAACTTCAGCTGTTACTGTGTGAAAGGGGAGTTGGTGTCCCTTGCCTCCCTTTTTATCTCCAATAAGCTCTTCAATCTCTCATTGAACTCAGCAGAGTGATTTTTAGCTCCCTACTCCATGATTTCTGAAAACTCAGACAAGCTGTATAAATTCTGGACTTTTAACAGTTGTAGAGGGGAGAAGGCTACAGATACAAGTTAGGTAGGAGGATTTGTGTCAGCTGAGGCCTGTCACTTCAGGGGGGAGATGGAGGGTTTACAACTAATGCCAAAACTTTTTTTTTAGTTTTGGATGGATTGGAATGGGATTAGACTCCATACCAAATGTGAGGTCCCCCCCCCCCCCCCATCCCCTTATCAGTTGGTTGTCCCCAGATCTGTAACAAGGGGATATCTTTCTATGGGGTCACTAGTTATGACCTGGGTGGTCCCCCAGGTGTGTCATTTATGTTGCAGGGATTTTCTTACTTCCTGATTAGCTATGGGGCGGGAGGTGAAGGGAAATCTCCCCAATGGGACACAGATGGTGGATGAAACCAGACAGGTTGCACAGCCCCCCTTACACTAGCCATAATAAAATGAGTGTAGTGTTCTTATCTGTCTGTAGGGGGAGTGCTTGCGCTTCTGTCCATTTGGCTTAGACATGGCAGCCATGACCCTTCTGTCCTGATTGTCCAATCAGGTGAGTTATTGATGGCGTCCTCCCCTGCGGTCCATGTTGGTCACATGTCAGATATTGGAAGGTCACACCTGAGCGCCCCACCTTGACGGTGATATTATATATAATGATCGGCTGTCAGTACTGGAGACGTTATCTAAACTCCAAATACAGTAAAATGGTTCAATTTAGACAAAGTAAAGGGAGTATTCTCATCCCTGGGAGGGGCTCCATTAGGGAGACACCTCTTCACTTCCTGTCCCATAGCCTTAACAGGAAGTAAGCAGGAATCCCTGGTGTCCCCGTTGGAAGATTTGTCCTTCATTCCTGTTGTGACGACCCAAACTTTCTGGTTTTGTTTCACTTTCAGGAAACCGCACAGATGGAGGGCGGAGCCTCCCCAGTGTAGGCACGGAGGGCGGAGCCTCCCCAGTGTAGGCACGGAGGGCGGAGCCTCCCCAGTGTAGGCACGGAGGGCGGAGCCTCCCCAGTGTAGGCACGGAGCAATAAATACATGACCGGTCCTCACCCCTCTTCACTGCATCCAACACTAAACAATGACTACTATAGGAGGGGAGAGTGTGGAAGAACTAGGCAGCTGCTGGGGGGGGGGGGGGGGGGGGGGGGGTGTGGGGTGGGGGGAGGGCTGGGGGGGGGGGGGGGGTGATGCTCTCATGTTGCAGTGATGGGGGGGTGACTCTCTCATGGCACAATGATGGGGGGGGGGGGTGATGATGCTCTGATGGCTCAGTGATGGGGGGGTGATGCTCTGATGGCGCAGTGATGGGGGGGGTGATGATCTCATGTGGCAGTGATGGGGGGGTGACGCTCTCATGTCTTAATGATGGGGGGGTGACGCTCTCCTGTGGCAGTGATGGGGGGGTTACGCTCTCATGTCGCAGTGATGGGGGGGTTACGTTCTCTCATGTCGCAGTGATGGGGGGGGTGACGCTCTCCTGTGGCAGTGATGGGGGGGTTACGCTCTCATGGCGCAGTGATGGGGGGGTTACGCTCTCATGGCGCAGTGATGGAGAGGTTACGCTCTCGTGTCGCAGTGATGGGGGGGTTACACTCTCATGGCGCAGTGATGGGGGGGGTTACGCTCTCATGGCGCAGTGATGGGGGGGTACGCTCTCATGTCGCAGTGATGGGGGGTTACGCTCTCATGGCGCAGTGATGGGGGGTGACGATCTCATGGCGCAGTGATGGGGGGGGGTGACTCTCTCATGGCAGAATGATTGGGGGGGGGGGGGGGGGGTGATGCTCTGATGGTGCAGTGATGGGGGGGGTGATGATCTCATGTAGCAGTGATGGAGGGGGGGTGACGCTCTCATGTGGCAGTGATGGGGGGGTTACTCTCTCATGTGGCAGTGATGGGGGGGTTACGGTCTCATGGCGCAGTGATGGGGGGGTGACGCTCTCATGTCGCAGTGATGGGGGTTGACGCTCTCATGGCGCAGTGATGGGGGGGTGACGATCTCATGTTGCAGTCATGGGGGGGGGGGGTGACGATCTCATGGAGCAGTGATGGGGGGGTGACGCTCTCATGGAGCAGTGATGGGGGGGGTTACGCTCTCATGGCGCAGTGATGGGGGGGTGACGCTCTCATGTCGCAGTGATGGGGGGGTGACGCTCTCATGTCGCAGTGATGGGGGGCTGACGCTCTCATGGAGCAGTGATGGGGGGGGTTACGCTCTCATGGCGCAGTGATGGGGGGGGGTGAC